TGATCCGTGTCGATCAAAATAAACAATTCTATTGGCTTTAGGTCACGTGATGGACACGGCTTTAGACGACCCCCTAATTCTGTAACTTGTATCGTCGTTTTTACAGTACTAAAAAGTGGTTATCTTATACTGTCCCGTACCGTACAAAAAATGGCAAGTTTTTGGGATTTCAAGTCCCATTTGCTCAAAGAGTTTAATTTACACGTAATTATACGCGTTTTTTAGGGAAAACCCAAAAAATCTTCAGAAGAAGTACACCAGGAAGGTAGATATATGCAACACTTTTACACGATACAAATGCACCGCGAAATTTCTCGAGATACTGAAACACCAATTCCTTTAGAAGCCAAAAATGTTACCCTTACCCCGATAGTCCGAGTTGTTTCTCAAAAAACTGTCGACAAACATTGGAAGCCTTTAAGCGAAAAATCTAGACAAAACTTTCGTGAAATTTTAAGCAGTACAATTCCGTAAGATTCTTTTTAATAATAAATTTTTTGGTCTCGAATATGTAAAATCAAATTTGCCCTAATCCTTTTATAATCAGTGTCGTAATTAATGGTGTTCGTGGAAAAAAAAAGGCGGAGCTACAAAGATTATTGGATGATTTAATTTCAAAGTAAAACATAGAATCATTTCATTAAAATTCTACAATTCTTTCGTTATTTTGGCTTACCATTTTTTAACCGTAACCGTGTAAAGAATTGACAAAAAGCTAGAGACGATCCCAGTACCCAAATACTCTAAGAAAGCAAGTTTCGATTACAACAAGATTCATTCACAAAATGTAGGATCTTTTTCCATAAAAAATATATAAACGCATTTTATTAAAAAGTCATTTACTCGAATAGCAAGCATTGGAGATGGCGTTAGCTAATGAATTAGAGCAGATAGGTCAAATGGAGATTAAACTAGAACACGAGACATTGTGAGCGATTGTCTAATTTTTAATAAATGGGATGAGTCAATAGAAATCAGCAAATTTTTATATCATGATTTTTATAAACTATAGAATTAATTTAGAAAAAATTTTTATTAGCTTAAAGTTTTAAAAAAATTTACTAAAACAAGTTTGCTTGATTTTTATCGACTCACCCCAAATATAATATTTCATATTTACATTTATTTATTTGTTTTACTTGTTTACAAGGCTTCTAGAAGAAGACACGGAAACATTGGCAAAGCTCAAAAGCGATAAAAAAGCTGTTGAAACTAGAAATAAAATGCTTCATAGGACAAAAGTAAGGTTCAAATGTGAGCGAACAAATAAATCTCAATCGTGTTATTTT